AGATATCATCAACTATATTTTGACCAATAATTGTTTCTTTTTTATTCCAAAGTTTCAATATACTTTTTTGTAATGGTTATAAATAAACATAGTGGCAGAACAGCTTTTGATTTTCTCAACTGGTATTGGTTTTCCTTATTGCACCAAACAGGCTAATTCTGCATTGTTTCTAGAAATAAACAAATGTATTCATGTCCTAAATAGTCATTTGAGACTAAAGATTTATATAAATTCTAGTCAAGATAATTGAATTGTATTTTTGCCAAGTTCTAGATTATTTTACTGCTGATGATTCAAGTATGGCTTTTGGTAGTGGATATTACAGAAATAAGTATTCTGTTTTAAATAGATACTAACAAGGTTATCAAAAAATGCACTGTTCACTAAATAAAGATATATATTGGCAGAAACATCCTTTGATTTGGTTATAATTTTGAGGCCTATATCCTTTAAAGTGTTGCCTTTTTACACATAGAGTGAAAACCATTATAAGAAATTTCTATTAAGGATTGTAAAACCAAAAAAAGAATAACAAGAAAGTAGAATGTAAAAATATTATACACAAGGGTCTAAAAGCATTGTTGTATTTTCTACAAAAATAAACACTTAAATTAATGTGCTATTGACTGGAAATAAGATTTAAGGTTATCTCTCAATCAAAATTTGGGCAAAATAATGTTTTGGATAATCAGTTAATTTTGCATATCCCATGTCATGGTAATAATCATGGCAAATGGCTTAGTTAAAAGCGTGGCACTTCCGCCAATTCATAAAGTTATTTGACGCATCTTAAAACAATATAAAAAACAAAATGCGACCAAATTATTTGGATAATTCACCTAGTGACGATCGATTCCTTGCCTCTTGCGCAATTATCTCATCTACAATTCGTTGATGTAGCGAGCACGAGCCGAAGAATGAATCACATCCAACTCCTTTATAAACAGTGTTTTTCTCCTAAACAGTCCTATGGCCTCAGTTTTCCAGCTCTTAAGCATTTCATCTATTCCTAACATATGAGCAATAAATCAGAGAATCCTTGATTTCATCCTTAGCAGCAAAAATAAACTAAGCCGATGCCGGAGGA